AATGTTAATGTCTCTCATTCCTTTTGAAGTGACCTTGATGAAATGAGAAACTGTTGGATAATTTGACAGTCATCTCTGGTATTAGAAAGTGGCTTCTGCCCTTTACCTGGCTGGTTTCTGGTCATTCCCAGTGTCTCCTGCTTCACCTTATTCTTATGTACTGTGTTCTTACAAATTTTGAACCTGAAAGCATCCTTCTGCTCAGCACAGCCTCTGCCAGCAGAACCAGGATTAAACCAGGATTTAAAAATGCAGATTTGTTTAAAAAATATCGGGTGGTCTCAATTATTTCCATGGCTGCAAATTCTCTCAATATACATTTTCACCACTATTTGGTTTTCGTTTGCTTTTGTTTTGCTTTTGTTTTCGTTTTGGTAGTCTCTCATGTGCCCTCATCTGTGGCCTGATCACACCTGCAGAAAAACAATAGAAATCACTGTTTGCTATTTTTCACCATTGTGGATTCATGTTTGTCCGTCTCTGCCTTTTTCATGCTGTCTCCTCACCATAACTGCTCCTCTTTGTGGTCCATGTCTAGCTTTCATGTCAAATCTTTGCATGACTGTTTCAGTTGCTCCTTGAGTGTCTGTATTACTCACTGTAATGTAGATCCTTTCATATAAGTACTATCTGGCAGACTGATACATGCTGCAGCACTTTAATAACCTGCATGGACCCACAGTGATGTGCATCGCTAAGAGGATATCGGCAGGAACCTGCTCTCATCTGTGTTAAGAGATGTTCCTGGTGTTTTGAATAAGCGTTTCGCATCGTTTTATGTTTTTAATCTTGATTTTGTTCTTTTTTTTAACCTTTTCATGACTAATATGTTCTGCTATAAGGGGGTGGTGTGGCTCAGCAAGTCAGAACTCGGTGATCAGAAGGTCACTAGTTCAAATCCCATGCTCAGCATTTCCATGTGAGGCCCTTGAGCAAAGCACAAAACCACAAGGTCCCCAAATACTGAGAATAGTTCACCCGACGTTTTCCAACTGTAAGTCACTTTGGATAAAAGTGTCTGTTAAATAAATAAAATGTAAATGAAGAACCATTTCAACTTCATAAATATGGAATTTTGGGTGAATACAAAACAAACAGAGAGGTGTGCTTCTGTGATCGGTAGGTTACTGTTTCAAATCCCATAGCTGGCAGAGTGATGTGACATTAGGGTCAGTTTAAACTCTGCGTTTACAGCATGTACACTTATGTGTTGCTGCACATACTTACATTAGTACAGTCGTCCCTCGTTTATCGCGGTTAATCCGTTCCAGACTTTCCCGCGTTAAATGAATTTCCACGAAGTACGATTCTTTATTTCTTTATTATTCGGCTGCACCTGGCGTTGAAGGAATTGCGGGGGTGCTCGAATACATAGGCCTACAGTCCATACGTACAGTAATTTTAATTGTAATACAGAGGTGTATAATTGACTCAGACAACCGAGCGTGTGCTGTATCACTTTCACTGTCTATCAACTTTTTAATGAATAAANTGTTCCTAATAATCCTTTAGGTGAGTGTATATATTAGTGCTGTCAAACGATAAAATTTTTTAATCAGATTAATCACAGGGTTGTTGTGGATTAATTTAGATTAATCACAATTAAATATCATTCATTTTTAATCTATATTAATCACAATTCATTTTGCATGAGCAAACAGACTCAAGAAAAAAGACAATATATATGCACAATAACATGTTTATTGAACATCTTGAACACTAGTCGGATGCATTCCATCTGCCACAGAAGTGCAATACCATGGCCCCATATCAAAAAGCAAGATATTTTACTTAGCCGGACAACTTGAACTTGTGGTATTTATGGTACCTCAGTTTAAATGGTTCACTTACAATTAGCCCGAACTACCATAAATCGGACAAATAATCCGACTAATCATGAAATCCAATTCTACCCCGGTTAATTGGCATTGTTAGCAATATCAGTTGATAACACATTATGCGCTGTGCTTTATGTATAAAACTCCGTAGCAACACATCCACAGATAAGTTGGACGTTATAGTGGGCGTGACCGATTTAATGAGCCACAAATGAGAAGTAGTGCTTAAACAGTATAAAACTACGCAACTTTCCCTTCTGTTGATAAAAGGCGCAGCCATATCAGATTCTGAACTCGGGATCATCTGTGCTGTTCCGAGATATTTCTTAGATGTCCGAGAAACGGGCATATACATATATATATATATATCCCTGTAGTTGGAACACACCCTCCGGTCCCCTTTCTTAAATACGCCCACCTTACTTCCATAAAGATATTAACCCTTAAGAACCCAGACCTATTTCTACTTTCATGAAAATTACGGGGGTTGTAAGTTGTAAAGGGGCGGTGACACCAGTGTCACTGTGGGTCCTTAAGGGTTAAATAAGGGGACCACCACCCCGGTCTGCCAATCCAGCGGCACTGTCCCTGACCTCCACGCGCTGTTGAGAAGGCGTGTCAGCCATGACAGCTCAAGAACATCTAGAGCCTTCAGGTACTCTGGGCGGATCTCGCACACACCCGGAGCCCGGCCACCACGGAGCTCTTTAACCACCCTGGCCACCTCAGCCCCAGTGATGTGCAAGCCCCCCCAGCACCCTCGGGCTCTGTGCCCTCAGATGTCTCAAAGGCAGTGTGCGTAGATGTATCTGAGGCAGGGTTGAGGAGGTCCCAGGAACCAGGAGCTCCTGATACTCCGGATGGTTTGCCAGAACCTTT